AGACAGGCCAGGTGCAATGGCTCACACCTGTAATCTGAGCACCAGCACTTTGGGAGGCCAAGGTGGGCGGATCACTTGAGGTCAGGTGTTCAAGACCAGCCTGGCCAACATGGTGAAATCCTGTCTCTACTAAAAAATGCAAAAATTAGCCAGGCGTGCTGGTGAGTGCCTGTAATCCCAGCTACTTGGGAGGCTGAGGCAAGAGAGTTGCTTGAACCTGGGAGGCAGAAGTTGCAATGAGCTGAGATCATGCCACTACACTCCAGCTTGGGCAACAGAGCAAGACTCCTTCTCAAAAAGGTTCTGTGACTCTAGGTAGCTTCATCTTCTTGTGAACTTCCATGTTTATGGTTTTCCCTCAAGGCAGCTTAAAAAGGCAGAATTTTTGTTTATCTTCCCATTAGCCAGGTGCTCACCTGCTCTACCCCTCATCTCTTAGGAAATGGAAGTCCACCCTGGCAGTGGTTCTGAACCTTATTAGGGTCATGGGATGCTTGGAGAATTTGCTGAAAGCTATGAACCTTCCTCTCAGGCCTCGGCCTTGGTGGGCTTCTGCTTCCTCAGGAATTTACATTACCGGTATATACCCCTGGGACTAATCAGAAAGCTTTAGGCTCTGTTTGATTGGTCCATTCTATACTTGACTGTTTTCATATAGTCAAGTGGTGGTTTTTGACAATGGGCCTAATCCATGTCAGTCTAAGGGGAAGTTTTTCTTTTTTCCTTTGTAGTGGGTCTGATTTTCCTAACTGCTTTTAGCTAACAGCAATTCCTGGGGATACTGTTGGTTTCACCCTGATTTGTTATGTTTTCAGCTTGTACTTGAGTTTAGACCTGTTTTAAGAAGTGCTTGAGTTTAGACCTCTTTTGATTTGCTCTTCAGTGGGGTTGGTTTTTTTTTTTTTTAGAGACAGGGTTTCACTATGTTGGCCAGGTTGGGCTCAAACTCCTGACCTCATGATCCACCTGCCTCAGCCTCCCAAAGTGCTGGGATTACAGGCATGTGCCACCACGCCCGGCTAATTTTGTATTTTCAGTAGAGATGAGGTTTCTCCATGTTGGTCAGGCTGATCTCAAACTCTTGACTTCAGGTGATCCGCCCTCCTCGGCCTCCCAAAGTGCTGGGATTACAGGTGTGAGCCACTGTGCCTGGCCTGACTCCCTGCGTTTCTAACCTTGCCTTTTTCTTCAACTCTCTGCGCTCCTTTCCCTCTGTAGGATGAATGGGGTGAAGGAAGTCAGACATGCTTGTGCTGCACTTCTCTGGGCACTTTGGCAGCTGGTAGGGAGCAAGGGAATGGGGCGTGGGGTGGGGATGCGCCCTCGGCTCCGCTTCTACCACAGCAGGCCTGCTTCTATGTGCTTTATATACAAGAGCTGAAGTGACATTTATTTTGAGCACAGTTCCATGGGGGGATCTCTGGTGTCTGTGTGTGAGTTCTCCCTGAGCAGGAGTCCTGTCTTTTGGGCTGGTAGAGACAGGGAAAAAAGGCACTTGTGTCTAACCCAGCCCATCTCTGACATGGGGGCAGATACCCCTTTCCCCCGACCCCTAATTCTCTTCCTTGTTCCAGTTCCAGGGAGGATGATACCTTTGATGATGAGAGTGTTAACCCTGCTGCTGCTTCCCAAGGGTCAGGCTGCTCCAAAGGATGGAGTTACAAGGTAACAGGGTTATGAGGGCAGGGCCATGGGCTGGGAGGAGGGAGAGTCTCTAGAGAATCTGAGGGTGTGGTGGGCCCTCTGGGAGGCAGGAGATGGGCTGTAGGTTCCCTGATCTCTGTATCTCCTACCACCAGACTGGGGTGTAGGTTCCCTGATCTCTGTGTCTCCCTGCCACCAGCCTCCCACCTTGTGACTGTCAGAGTGCCACAAAGTGAAAATTCAGTATATGCTTGCTGGACCCATTTGGAATCAGGGAACTCAGCTCCAGTGCATTATGAAGCATAGGGAAGAAGCTATGGCTCCAGGGAAGTGGGGGCTTCAGTTTTCTTATTAAGACCTTATGGTGGGCTGGACACAGTGGCTCATGCCTGTAATCTGAGCTCTTTGAGAGGCTGAGGCAGACAGATCACCTGAGGTCATGAGTTTGAGACCAGGCTGGCCAACATGGTGAAACCTCATTTCTACAGAAATAAAAAAATTTAGCCGGGCATGATGGTGCATGCCTGTAATCCCAGCTACTTGGGAGGCTGAGGCGAGAGAATCACTTGAACCTGGGAGGTGGAGGTTGCAGTTAGCCAAGATCAAGCCACTGCACTCAGCCTGGGTGATGACAGAGCAAGACTCTGGCTCAAAAAACAACAACAGCTGGGCGCGGTGGCTCATGCCTGTAATCCAAGCACTCTGGAGGCCAAGGCAGGTGGATCACCTGAGTTGGGGAGTTCAAGACCATCCTGACCAACATGGTGAAACCCCGTCTTTTAAAAATAAAAACAAAAAACAACAACAACAAAACCTTATGGCAGGAACACCAAGGAAGTAGAGATCATTAGCATGTCATTTCTATGTTATAGGAATACCTTTCTGAAGGCTTTATTTATAAATACTATGCAGTGAGCATGCTAGGTAGAGGGGGAAACAGCCACAGGAACAGCCGCAAGGGCTGGTAGCAGTGACAAAAATTCCTGCCAGCAACTCCTGCCAGCTCTCTGCATCACAGGTCTGGATTGACTTGAGCAAACAGTTAACCCAGTCCAGAAGTGGGAGCATATTTGGAGCTTGAAAGACTGACAGAGATCCTGAGCAGCTTGAAATCCCAGAACCAAGAGCTATACCCTGTCCTTGAAAAAGTATGAGTCAATTTTATGTCATGGAGCAAACTGGGTCTGTGTAAATCTGGGCAGTGCCACCGGGCTCAGAGACTGGCCCCTCGGCTCCCAGCATGGAAGGAGAGGGGTTCCATGGCCCATGTCATCCTGCTACTCACTGGGCTGTCTCCTTGGATCTCTAACTTGTGTCTACTAGGTGTGGTCTCCTCTGGCCTCTACCTAACCAGATGTTTTGTTTGGGTTTTCATTTAAAGTCTAATGTAGCCAACTGCAAAAACGGAGTCTGAGGGAGTTAAGGATTTGCTTCCAAGGAGACCAGAAGAGCCTCCTCCCTACAAGGTTTTCGGAATTTTGGGGGCAACACCCTTTGGGTTTGGGGAGAGAACTTTGCCAGGAGATTGGGGGCAGAAGGTTGACAGGCTGGGCCCTCAGGGAGGCTCTCTGCAAGACTACTCTTCCCCTCCCTCCTCCAGGCCAGACTCTGAAGTTCAGCATCAGTTCCTGCCCAACCCCTTCCAGCCTGGCACGGAGCAGCTCAGGTGAGTAGGCTGGGCTGGGGAGTACCTTCAGGGAGAAGACCAGGCCCAGCTGCAGACTCATCTCTCCTGGGCTGTTTCTCTACTTTTCTGACAGACTTCTGCAGAGCTACCTAAAGGGACTAGAAAGGACAGAAGTGAAGCCAGAGCATCTGAGCCGGGAGCAGGGTGAGGGGCTGGACTGATGTGGCCAGGGACGGGAGGCTCTGGGCACCCGGACCTGGGACTGACCTTGGCTGCCCCATTGACTCCTGCCTTCTCCATCTCTCCCAGCACCTCTTCTAATCCAGCTTCTCTTCTCTAGTTCTCCTCTACCTCTTTGCCCTCCATGACTATGACCAGAGTGGACAGCTGGATGGCCTGGAGCTGTTGTCCATGTTGACAGCTGCTCTGGCCCCTGGAGCTGCCAGCTCTCCTACCACCAACCCGGTAAGCTCTGCTGGATGAAGGTCCTCCCATAAATGAGACCCAGCACTTTGGGGCTTGGGTCTTTCTCATCATAACTCTTTTGGTGAATCCTCTGTAAAAGGAGGCCTCGGATCTTGCATGGCAAGGATGCAAGGGTGTGTTGGGGAGGGTCAGGACTCCTGGAAATATCTCTGGTCACTGGAGACCCCACAGTGACTCTGCTTCCACAGGTGATCTTGATAGTGGACAAAGTGCTGGAGACCCAGGACCTGAATGGGGATGGGCTCATGACCCCTGCTGAGCTCATCAACTTCCCGGGAGAGGCCCCCAGTCACGTGGAGCCCAGAGAGCCCCTTGCTCCGTCCCCTCAGGAGCCACAAGCTGTTGGGAGGCAGTCCCTGGTAGCTAAAAGCCCATTAAGACAAGAAACACAGGAAGCCCTGGGGCGCAGAGAAGCTGAGGGCCAGTTAGAGGCCAAAAGGGAGTCCTTGGAGTCTGTCCAGGAGCCTGGGGGCCAGGCAGAAGCTGACAGAGATGGCCCCGGGCCCATAGGCGAAGCTGTGGGGCAGGCAGAGGCTGAAGATGTCCCCAGGCCGAAAGGGGAAGCTGAGGGACAGGCAGAGGCCAGGGAAAATGGAGAAGAAGCCAAGGAACTTCCGGGGGAAACACTGGAGTCTAAGAACACCCCAAATGAGTTTGAGGTGCACATTGTTCAACTGGAGAATGATGAGATCTAGATCATGAAGATACAGCCTTGTACCCTGAGAAGTCTCAGTGCCAGAACATAAGCCCTGAAGCAGGCAGGCGGATATATGCGGGGACAGGAACCACCTCTGTGCCCCCCGTCTGATCCCAGTAGGTATCAGGTCTTTCTGTGAAGCTCAGGGAAACCCTAAGTTAAGGGGCAGATCACCAATAAAGAATTGAATGAATTCACCCCCAGGCCACCTCTCTACCCATCCAGCCTGCCCAGAGCCTCTCTGGGGAGCAGGGGGTTGACGACCAGAAAGGACAGGGATGCCACTTTCCCAGTGTTTCTAGGCCTCACGGTGCTCCAGCAGCAGAGCCTATGGTGCCAGCCATGGCCAGCTGCAAGGACCCAGTGAGGAAAGCTCCATCTATCCCTGGGCCCCAAACACTCTCTGGTTCCCCCTCACCTGGTGTTCAGACACCCCATACTCTCCTGCAGCTCAGGGCAGGTAGTCCCCATCACGCTGTATCTGCCTCCCATCCCCAGTAGTATTAATCATCACCAGAACTTTTTGAGAGTCTCGTACACATCAGGCATCATGCTGGGCATTTTATATATTATATGATTTTATCTTCACAATAATTCTGTGGTGAAGCAGAATTGGCTCCATTTGACAGATGAAGAAATTGAAGCAGATTGTGTGAAGCACTGTACTGCAAGGTGACATGCAAAGAATTAAATGGCAGATTTGGATCCAGGTCTGTCTGACTCTAAAGCCCATGCTCTTTACATTATAAGGCCTTATCCCCCTATACTGGAGTTGGCCCCAATTTCAATACATGTTTTAACCTGACCTCCCTGAGGACAGCAACACTCTGTATCCTGGGTCACATTTGTGGCTGAGGCACCCCCTTAATTCCAAGGTGGTCTCCAAGGGTGAGACTTTCAGGCTCTGGGGCAGTCAACAGGAGGAGATATTTCTGGACAACAAAGGCTGGCGGGCAGGGCAGAGGAGGCACCCCACCCACTGGCCTGTCAGTTTGGCTCAGCCATGTGGACTCCCAGGCCCCGAGGAGCTCTCACGGCTTCTGGTTCTTCAGCATATTCGCTGGGTGTGGGGTGCTGAGTGTCCTCCCCAGCCAGGACAGAGCTGGTGGCAAGCCCGGGGCACTTCTTGCTGCTCTAGCCCAGGCAGCCACTCCTCTGGGCCTGGGCAGGGAGGTTAATTGGGGGAATGGACACAAAGAGGGAGGACTGAAGAGTCAGAGCCTCGGGAATGCCCAGCCAGAGCAGTCCAGACATCCAGGACAGAAGCTGCCAGGGGAAAATGGCTCCAAGGCAGATTTATTTGCTCTGAGGCTCTGCAGGGAGAGACGTGTGGGGAACACAGGACACAGGCAGAGTCCTCCCTATGGCCTGCAACTGTCCCGTGAGCAGGGCAACCTGGATGCCAGGCTGAATGGAGGGAAGAAGGCGATACAGCCGCAAGGGCAGGCAGCTTCCATGGTGTGTGGGGAGCCGGCTCCTCCTGCTGCATAGCTCTCACACAATGCCATCAAAGCCTTGCAAACCACACTTCTTGCCGGCCACCTGGCACCCGAATCTCAGTGCTTCCTGCATGCTCCTCCCTGGAGGAGGGACAAGTAGCTAGGTCAGGTGGGTGTTTGGAGCAGGGACAGGTCCCAGTCCTTGTCCCCTCCTGCTGCTGTACTCACCCTGGGATAGGCTGAAGATGATGGAGGCGTTGAAGGTGTCTCCAGCCCCCAGGGTATCCACCACACGGGGCGGCGGGAAAGCATCCGAGTGGAGCAATTTGCCATCAGGGCCCAGGGCGTCGGCACCCTCCTCAGCCCAGGCACAGACAAGCACAGCCCTGCAAGACAGCTCCACTTAGCTGGATGTTAGTCCACCCCTCCCCCAAGTCATCCCCTCAGCCCCAGGGCAGACCCCTGGCAGCACCTTCCTGGCTTCCCCAGCTCACCCTTTCCTCACACGACCATACAAGCCCCTCAGGGCTTCCCCTGCTGACCGGAACCCCAAGTGCTTGGCCACATCTTTGCTGACAAACACCTGTGGGCAGTGGAAGAGAAGCTGGTGGTCACCTCTAACTTGCCGCTCACCGACAGCAGCCTGGCATTGCCCCTTTTACAATACGACTCTCCCAACATGTCCACGTACATCCCCAACATAGCATCTCACTGTCCCACGGCAATATGGTTTTCTTTTTTCTTTATTTTTTGTAAAGACAGAGTCTCCCTGTGTTGTCCACGCTGGTCTCAAACTCCTGGCCCCAAATTATTTTCCTGCCCCAGCCTCCCACATTTCTGGAATTACAGGTGTGAGCCATTACACTCAGCCAGAAAAACATTTTTTTTTCTTTTTTTTTGAGACAGTCTTGTTCTGTTGTCAGGCTGGAATGAAGTGGCACAATCTCATCTTACTGCAACCTCCACCTCCTGGGTTCAAGCAATTTTCTTGCCTCAGCCTCTCGAGTAGCTGGGACTACAAGTACATACCACTATGCCCAGCTAATTTTTGTACTTTTAGTAGAGATGGGGTTTCACCACATTGGCCAGGCTGGTCTCGAACTCCTGATCTTGTAATCCACCCGCCTCGGTCTTCCAAAGTGTTGGGATTACAGGCGTGAGCCACCGTGCCTGGCCAACACATTTTTTTTTTTGAGATGGAGTTTCATTCTTGTTGTCCAGGCTGGAGTGCAATGGCGCAATCTCAGTTCACTGCAAACTCTGCCTCGCGGGTTAAAGTGATTCTCCTGTCTCTGCCTCTGGAGTAGCTGTAATTACAGGCATGTGCCACCACGCCCAGCTAGTTTGTATTTTTAGTAGAGACAGGGTTTCTCCATGTTGGTCAGGCTGATCTCGAACTTCCAACCTCAGGTGATCCGTCTGCCTCGGCCTCCCAAAGAGCTGGGGTTACAGGCATAAGCCACCGTGCCCGGTCCAGAAACATATTTTTATTGATGCTTATATATGATAGAATACAGCCTTGTAAATTGTTAAAAGCCCTGGTCAGTTAAAGGATCAAAGGATTGAAACCCCACAGAAAGCCTTGAGCGCCACCTTGGGGTGGAATCTATCACCGCCATGCTGGCTCCCTGGAGCGGTTTTGCTGGGTTTTTCCACGCACAACTATGTCCTCTAGGTATGGTTTCTTCATCTGGAAAACAAAGGGGCTCCCTCAACACTAGCTACATTTTAGAATCTCCAGAGATAGTTTTGGTAAAACACACACACGCACACGCACACGCACACACAGAAGCCTTGGCTCTACCCCTGCCAATCAAATAAAAACAAGATGGTGGGGCTCGGCCATCTTTTTTTAGAGTCAGGGTCTCACTCTATTGGCTGGGATGCCGTGGTGCAATTATGGCTCACTGCAGCCAATTATGGCTCACTGCAGCCTTGAACTCCTGGGCTCAATCTGCCTGCCTCAGCCTCCTGAGTAGCTGGGACTATGGGTGGATACCACCATGCCAGGATTTTTTTTTTCTTTTTGACAGAGACAGGGTCTTGCAATCTTGCCCAGGCTGGTCTCAAACTCCTGGGTTCAAGTGATCCTCCTGCAGTGGCCTCCCAAGGTGCTGGGATTACAAGTATGAGCCACTGATCCTGGCCTAATTTCTTAATTTTCATAGAGACAGGAGTCTTGCTATGTTGCTCAGGCTGGTCTTGGATTCCTGGCATCAAGAAATCCTGCCTCAGCTTCCCAAAGTGCTTGGATTACAGGTGTGAGCCACTGCACTGGCCTGCATTCATCTTTTTAAATATGCAGCCAAGGTTGAGGACCTTGGCTGGATGGTCTCCAACCAGCTTCTGCTATGATGCTGGGATTATCTTCCAAATTCCTTTTATACCAAGCCTTTCAAAAAGTAACTAATGCAAGTCTCCTCCCCACCCTCCCCTCATCCCTAGTGACCCCCACAACCTGCCAGACAGCCTTGAGTTGGAAGAAACCTCAGAGAACAGTTGTGTGCCCTCATTCTACAGCAGAAAAGCCTCGGGAGCCCCAGAGAGGAAATGCTTCCCCACAGGCTTGCCCTATGGCTGTCTAGGCCCTACCCAAGCCCTCTGGGTATTCCTACACCTATGCACCCTCCTGGGGTGGAGACATTCTACTCCTTGGTCACTGCTGAGGCCTGCACTGGAGCCCAAGGCTATGTGTCTACCTTTTTGTTTTAACCCCCAACCAGGAACCATTATTCCAACTGTGGTAGGCATGATAAAAGGACTCTGGCCCCCTTTAAGAACCAAATTAGTGGTCAGCCACGGTGGCTTATTGCCGGTATCCCAGTACTTTGGGAGGCCAAGGCGGGCGGATCACCAGGTCAAGAGATCGAGACCATCCTGGCCAATATGGTGAAACCCCGTCTCTACTAAAAATACAAAAATTAGCTGGGCTTGGTGGTGCACACTTGTTGTCCCAGCTACTTGGGAGGATGAGGCAGGAGAATTGCTTGAACCTGGAAGGTGGAGGTTGTAGTGAGCTGAGATCGTGCTACTGCAGTCCAGCCTGGCGACAGAGCAAGATTCTGTCTCTATAACTCGATCAAGACAGTTGCGGGTGGGCAAAAAACATAAAAATAAATAAATAAATAAATACATAATAAGAAGAACCAAATTAGCTGGAAGTGGCAAAGAGAGGCTGCATAGGGCACCCACCACGTCTCCATAGCCAAACAGCTGGAAGAGCTCCTCTCGCGGCTTCTCCACCTCCACGGACACCCAGATCTTCTGCTCCGGAGGCTGCCTGGCATTGTGCATGTCTATCCGCTGTAGCATCTTCACCTGCTCCAATGCATTCCGGCCCTGGGGCAGCACGGGACAGCTGAGGACTGCTGAGCACTGCCTGGCCAATCTGGCTCATTCTTCCTGCCCTGCTGAAACTCTGGGTGAGGAGGGAGAGGGCCTGGGGGAAGCTGGGCTAGAACCCCATCCTAAATCTCAAAATTCAGAGCTGTCATGGACCTTGGAGACCTTATCAACCAGCTACACATTCCACAGATGAGAAGACTAAAGAATAACAGAGACTGTGAAAGACCTACCATAGGTTAAATGATAGAACTCAGGACTTCTCAGGATTTCCTCCCACCTAGACTCCAAAACCTCTCTTGGAGTAAAGGTTCTAGTTCCCTTTATTTGGAAGCTGAGTCAGGCCCTGTCCTTCCTGCTTCCCCAGAGGTAACAGGTCAGGCCCTAAGCAGTCAGACTTCTGCCAAAGGCAGTTGGAGGCGGTGGGGCAAGCCCATAGCACAGAAAGCACAGGACTTTGCCTGGAGTCAGCTGTGCCTATGTTCTGCTGTGTGTCCTTGAATAAATCACCTTATCTTTCTGGGCCTTAGCTTCCTCACCTGCAGACATAAGGAAGGATGGAGAGGGAATACAGGGGTTGGATTCATTTATCTCTAAGGTACTTGATGGTTCAAACACAGCCAGGAGGAGAACATGTGGAGGATACTGGCGGGTTGAGCCCACTGAAACACAGGTAAGGCAGTGCTTGCCTCAATGTGGATCCACTTGAACCGGGTCAGATCAACCTTCTCAAAGTCCTTAGCAGACACATCTGGCAGGCTCCTAGGTCACAGGATGGAAAGGACAGAGAAGAAAGAGCGTGATGGGGTCAGCCAGGGCCAGGGTCTCTAACCTGCAGCTGTGGACCCTGTGCCGGCACTGCCGGCAGCATGTCAGGAAGCTGGATCCACAGCACAGGATTCTCAGGCTTAGCTCCAGGTGGGCCCTTTCACAGTCTGCTGGAGTGCCCCTTCCTGGGTTTGAGATTGTGATTATCTCAGGGTAAACTGAACAGCAACACGTGTCAACCGGCCAGGTTTGTGTCTTGGAGACAGCACCTCCCAGAATACACCAGGAGTGCCAAGCCTACACTTCCCAGAATCCCCTGCAGTAGCACACAGCTCCCACAGGCAGAGCCCTGAGAAACTATAAAGCCTGAGACCCTCTGCCTGGGCTGTCTGGTCCCCCTCACTTCTGGCGACCTAGCGTTGGAGCTTGCCTATGGCATCCATGTCTTGGGTTTAGTAGTTCCCTGTTGCAACCCTGAGGTCAAAGTAGTTGGCACTTGAGGAAGAGTTTGTTTGGCTGGTTTAGGAATGGAGATCCTGGGTGGGAGTCTGCCTTGACCCTCCTGGGCCAGAGACCTCAACTCAGCCAACATCCCCGCTCCACAGTCTGTGGTGAAATCCTTCCACTTAACTATAGCTGTGTGACCTGCCTGGGCCTCTTGGGAGGCTGCACGCCCGTTGATAAATGGGGCCGAAACCCCCAGCCTCCTTGCAGGCTGCTGCAGTTGCAGGTAATGTGTGTGAATGTACCTGGACTGAGGCCAGCAGGCAATAAATATTTCTCCTCCGAGCTCCTTTCCCTCCTCTTCTGTGAATAGCTACATTGTGTCCTTGATCAGGGTTGCTACAGATTGTTGCTTAACAAGCATTTGACTAGGATTGCCCAATGTGAAGGTCACCTGTAGCACATGTGCCCGCCCACTCACTCACTGCACATACAGGCCCAGGGATGGCTGCCCCTCCTCCAGGTCCAGTGGTCAGGCTGGGCAGTAGGGACAGCCTAATCCCCAGGGCTGCTGAGCTTGGGCCCTCTGAGCCGTAATAGTACCTGGCATGTACTAGGTTCTCAGTAAACTAAACCTCTAAAATCCTGCAGGAGGAAGTGTGTGAGGGATGAGAAGTGTCTAGGCCCATGGGCCTCTCTTGAGTGGCCTGGGACCCTGAAGGGAGGGATGTCCCATTCCCCCAGGTCAGCGCCACGTTACATGCCCTGATCCGCTTACCCAGTGTTCCTCTCCTTCTCCTTCACCAATGGCTAGAATGGTGTGTGGCATGTTTGGCCTGGCTTCATCATGCTGGAATCTTTGGGGGGGCTCATCTCTTTTGCATACCCAAACCCTAGCTCCTTGGTGCCATGCTGAAGGCTGGCAACTCTGGGGCTGACCCTGGAAATCCCAGTGGGCCCCCCTAGCCCTTCTTGAGAAGGGTTGAATCCCATCTCTCACCCCTCTGTCCTGAGAACAGTTTCCCCACACCCACACCCACACCCACACCCAAGCTGCTGATTAACTGTTTAATAATTATGGAGGAATCACTTCATAAATTACATTTTATATAGGCCTGTTTGCCCTTCTTTGGTGTTGACCAAGGCCAGTCACCAGGCATAGCAAAGCCCAATCCTTCCCACCTCACTTTTCCCTTAATTGAAAGCAATTCAGAAATCACTGGACATTTTGACAGGGGAGCAATTTCTGGTACAGAGAAGTCAGAGAGGAGGGCAGTTGGGATGCCCATGGTGGCGAGTGAGGGAACTGATTGAGCCAACTGATTGGTGGGTTGTGGCAGGGCGAGGCCAGGGGGCCTTACGTGTCATGGAGTACAATGGTACGGTTGCCATTGGAGTTGTTGATGATGCAGCAGGAGCTGGGGGTGTCCCCCTTGTTCTGCCAGGCCACCTGAGACACGTCCACGCCCCGCCGCCTGAAGTCAGCCACTAGGAAGCTTAGGGTGGAGGCCAGGCCAGGGAAAGGTCAAGGAGAAACAGATTAGAGCCTGCAAGTGACCTGGACCTCCCATGGGAGTGGGGAGGGGGTACTGGAGCACACGAGCCTCTAAGAGAAGAAGAGTCTTGTTCTGGGAATTTTGGTGATGGTGGCAGCAGCTGGCAAGGCACAGACAGTCATACAAACCTGTCATAATATAGGATGGTGCGGCTACCACTGGCCTCGTTGATGATCACTGTGGCGATGGGGACGGAGCCTGTGGTCTGAAAGACCATGTAGCGGAGGTCCACAGAATAGCGGCGGAGGTCATCCAGGACAAAACTGCCAGGGCGGAGTAACCCGAAGGGGGTGCAGTTCGACAAGGGTTTGGGGACTAGAGGGTAGCTGGCAGGGCCACTAGGGACCCTGAAAGGCAGGGGTGCAAGCAAAGGGGGCTGGGAGAGAACTGGGAATCACAGTCTTGCCACTGGCAGTGCAGCAGGGCAGGAGAGGCAGGAGTGCAGAGCCTGGAGCTCAGAGAGAGAAACACTAAGGCCATCCTTTTAGGTCTTGGCTGAAGCATGCCCTGATCCTGACTCTGTTTTTCAGTCCAACTCAAGCTGGAAAGGATCTGCTCCTGTTCATAAATTTGGACAGGCCCTAGAACCTGTACCCTGTTTGAACCAAGCAGGTGGAGGCTCTGTGGCTTGTTTGCTGCAATGCCCAAGCAGGATTAATAATTAATCTCCAAGGAAATACTTTGTCCCCAACTGTCCTCCACATGCTCATCCATGGTGCTGTCCTCTCCGAGTCCCTCCCAGTCCTAATGCTGTGATTTCTCTCACTCTCTGCCTGCCTCCAGGAGGCCCAGCCTGGAAGTGGTGCTGCCTTGTGAGCCAGCTCACTGCTCTGTCCTCCTGCAGGTGACAGGTGATCCCTCCCAGGCAATTAGCTGGCTCCTGGTGCCTGATGCCACTCAGTATCGGCCTGGTCCAGAACTCTCTCCCAGAATGCCCTCCACGCAGAGTGAGCCCAGGGGCGAGGACAAGGAGACCAGCCCCTGCCATCCTGGCCCTCTCTGGACGTGCACTGTTCTGTGCTGAAGAACTGGCAATTAGGCTGGGCACAATGGCTCACGCCTGTAATCCCAGCACTTTGGGAGGCCGAGGCAGGAGGATCACCTAAGGTCAGGAGTTTGAGACCAGCCTGACCAACATGGAGAAAAGCCATCTCTACTAAAAATACAAAATTAGCCAGATATGGTGGCACATGCCTGTAATCCCAGCTACTCGGGAGGCGGAGGCAGGAGAATCTCTTGAACCAGGAGGTGGAGGTTGCAGTGACAGAACCACTGCACTCCGGTCTGTTACCAAAAAAAAAAACACCAAAAGAACTGGCAATTATGCCCAGCAGTCCAGCCACCATCCTGGCTTTTCTAGCCTGGCCAGAGCCTGCTTTCAGCAACACCAAAGCTGGATAATACAGATTTGCATAAAGGTACCAAGTCGGGGCATCATTCCTTGACTTACAACTCCTTTAAATAGCTTTCCCAAAGCATTGGAAATATGGTTTGGTGTGCCAAATAACTTTTGCATCTACAGTGCCTGGCACGTGGTAGGTGCTCTCTAAAGGTTTGTCGAGCACATGGGAGGATTCTGAATAGCCCTCCCATCGGCATGATTGCTATGTAAAGGAGAGTTGGCCACCCTAGACGAGAGCCACCTCCTGCCTCCAGCCTGGAGGAAAGGAGCTACTGAAGAGGTTTAACGAGTCACCAGCCCCTGGCTCTGAGCCATCCTGTTCCATCTCACAGGGCAGATTCTCTCCCTCTATTCTCTTCCTGCCAGTTCATCAAGGCAGGGAGTTTGGCTATAGCTCAGGCGGTTAGACTTTGCTAGCAGCCCCCCTCAAACTAGAGTTCAAAGGGCTGCGCTTCACAGGCCAGCACCTGGCAGCCTGCCCCAGTGCCCACAGTGTGCAAAGTGTGGGCCTCACCTCCCGATAAGTGCTTGCTGAGTCGGCAGCACCAGAGGTCAAAGGGCTCTGAGGTCCCAGCAGCAGCCAACATGGAGGGCACACATGAGCCACTTAGGGCTATAGCCCTGCCAGCCGGTGAGCTGGGAGGTGTGGGTTCTGAGCCCAGCTTTAGCACGTGGCTTCAGGGTGTCCTTGAGCAGGGTACTCTCACTGCTTCAGTGAACAACAGGGACATGAGCACCAGCCTGCCCCTCAACTGGGACAGAAACTGTGGACCTGGACCCGGGGGCCATGGCTGCAGGCCATTCCTGAGGGAGGATGGGTACAGCATGCCCCTAACTGCCTTCTGCCTCAAGCATGGCCAGGATAAGGGACTTAGGAAAGGCAAAGGCAAATCCACCGCAGAGTCTGCAGGAGGCAAGGAAGGAGAAGGGAAGAGGCTGAAGCAGGCTCCAGGAAGTGGCCAGGAAACCAGCTATGACAAGGAAAGCTTCACAGGGGCAGCATCAGCCCCCAACTGCAGAGAGGCAGCACCAGAACAGCACTGAGAGGCTGGTGCTCCACCATCCCTGCTCCCCACGTTTCTGCTGGCCACAACCCATTTCTAATCCCCCACCCACCCAGGGTGGACACATCCTTCTTCTCCCCCAACGATGCAGGCAGGCCTTCCCCAGTGGGCACTCCCTCCTGGACTTACTCAGCAACATGGCCGGGGGCCATGGAGCCCATGAAGGCGCAGGGGGCTCCGAGCAGGGAGAGAACGGTGCAGGAGTTGGACGCGTTGCCTCCACGCTGCCATCTCTGGGACAAGCACCTGCAAAGCACAGGGAGGGTCCCTGCAGTCCCAGCAGGCTGGTCCCAACCACAGTCCCCCATATAGGGACCTACAGAGTGTGACAGCTGGGGACTTGTCTCAGACGGCATCTAGGCTGCTGTCTCACTTTCTACCCGGGGCAGCCAAGGCTGGCCAAGGGAAGGAGCTTGGCAGAGAGCGGTGTCTGCCTCCCCAGCTCAGGCTAAATTCAAGCCCACAGCAGTTCCTTTCCATGTTTCCATTTGTTCCTAGGGCACCAGGAAACCTCTCTCTTGGGTCCATCACAATTTGAGAGCCCTACTCACTCCAGATATCTCCTCTTCACCTTTTCCCCTGGTCGGAGCTGCTCACGGAGGCTGTACCTTTGGCCTCCTCCTTGAGAGCTGCAGCAACTCCAAGGACCTCGGGAATTAAATGCTTCTTCCCAAAGGTATCATATTTATACCTACCACTGTCTTAGGAGTGCTTACTTCAATAGAAACTGCAGAGCTGGCCGGGTGTGGTGGCTCACACCTGTAATCCCAGCACTTTGGGAAGCTGAGGTAGGTGGATCACAAGGTCAAGAGATCGAGACCATCCTGGCCAACATGGTGAAACCCTGTCTCTACTAAAAATACAAAAATTAGCTGGGCTTGGTAGTGAGCACCTGTAGTCCCAGCTACTCCGGAGCCTGAGGCAGGAGAATCATATGAACCTGGGAAGCAGAGGTTGCAGTGAGCCGAGATCACACCACTGCACTCCAGCCTGGCAACAAAGCAAGACTACGCGCCCCCCCCCAAAAGCTGCAGAGCCATAAGATCAAATGAATAAGACAGGACAGCAAACCTGGACATTGGTCATTTAAGAAGTGGCAGCAGGGAGCACTTCTCCATCTTTACTAAAAATCGATCAAAAAGAAACTAACAAGACACATCTGAAGAGCTTCATCATCAGCAGCAGCAAAAATGATAACTTTCACACACAGTCAAAGCACTGATCACCTCACGGTGTTACAGGAGCACAAATGAGAAATCATTAATCAGTGTTATTACCTTTGAGGTATGAATGGTGTTATTTCTATTGTGCCAGTTCCAATCATAATAATAATAATAATTGTGGCAGCTTACAAAAAAAGGAGCAGTACCAAAGAACCACTAATTAAGAGAAAAAAACTGAACCAGAATTTTTAGGCTAAAGCATATGTGTATACAAAACTTCAGTTTTGGGAAAAGGGGAGCATGATGTCATTTGAGAAAAACAATAGTAGACCAGGCACTGGCTCATGCCTATAATCCCAGCACATTGAGAGGCCAAAGCAGGAGGATTGCTTGAGCCCAGAAGTTCAAGACCAGCCTGGGCAACAAAGGGAGATTTGTCTCTACAAAAATTTTAAAAATTATCTGGGTATGGTGGTGCATAGCTGTGGTTCTAGCTTCTCAGGTGGCTGAATTTGGGGGAGCGCATGAGCCCGGGAGGTTTAGACTGTGGTGAGCCCTGATACTGCACTCCAACCTGGGTGGCAGAGCGAGATCCTGTCTCAACAACAATGACAAAGGATAGTAATTTAATTTTCTTTTGTTGAGACAGAGTCGCTCTGTCACCCAGGATGCAGTGCAGTGGCATGATCATGGTTCACCGCAGCCTTAGCCTCCCAGGCTCAAGTGATCCCCCAACCTCAGCCTCCTGAGTAGCTGGGATTATAGGTGTGCAGCACCATACCCCACTAATTTTTTAACATTTTTTGTAGAGATGGCATATTTTTATGTTGCCCAGACTGGTCTTGAACTCCTCGGCTCAAGCAATCCTCCTGCTTGGGCCTCCCAAAGTGCTGGGATTATAGGCATGAACCACTGCACCCAGCTGGTCAAAGATTTTCAAGCTAAGCTTTACAGAAATTTTTACAAAAAGAAAGGAGGAATCTTGAGGAATCTGACTTGATCGATAGTTAAGGACAAAGCTGATGTGGGAACCCAAGTTTCCTGACCCCCAGAGCCATTGCTGTTTACTCTGTGTGTGTGTGTGTGTGTGTGTGTGTGTGTGTGTGTGTGTGCTTCTGGGTTAGGGTTAGGGTTAGGGTTAGGGTTTACTCTGTGTTTTTAAACAAAAAGTAGTTAGGCCCAAGCTTTGATGAGGTTTCTAAGCTAGGGTATATGGCCAGGCATGGTGGCTCACACCTGTAATCCTAGCACTTTGGGAGGCCAAGGTAGGCAGATCATGATGTCAAGAGATCGAGACCATCCTGGCCAACATGGTAAAACCCTGTCTCTACTAAAAATACAAAAAATTAGCTAGGTGTGGTGGCGCACACCTGTAGTCCCAGCTACTCTGGAGGCTGAGGCAGGAGATTTGTTCAAACCTGGGAGGCAGAGGTTGCAGTAAGCTGAGATCAGACCACTGCACTCCAGCCTGGTGACAGAGTGAGACTCAGTGGGAAGGGAAGAGGGAAGGGAAGGGAAGGGAAGAAGAGGGAAGAGGGAAGAGGGAAGAGGGAAGAGGGAAGGGGAGGGGAGGGGAGGGGAGGGGAGGGGAGGGGAGGGGAGGGGAGGGGAGGGGAGGGGAGGGGAGGGGAGGGGAGGGGAGGGGAGGGGAGGGGAGGGGAGGGGAGGGGAGGGATTTCACTCTGGGGAAACCCTTCAAAGTGACACTGTTATTTCCTGTGCAGAAATGCTCAGCAGAGCAGGAGGATGCTTTCTGGAAGGCTCTCCTTTGCATGGGTTCTGGGTGGCAGGGGTCACATCCCAGGCAAGAGTCCCCAGCTGCCTGTCAAGCACAGAGACCCCGGGACAGGTGGGGCTGAGATGCCCAGGAAAGGCTGGGTCCCACTGGAATGTGCTCTTCTAGGAGGCAAACAGTCCAGGAGCCAGGCTGCAGGGAACCAGGGCCACGGGGCTGGAGGAGGGGCATGGTCTGGAGGGCAGGAGCATGGCAGACAAGGGAAGGGGCCCTTTAGAGAGGTGTCTCACTCGGTGCCCACCTTCAGAACCTGCCCCATTAGTGTAGGCACCAGCAGGACTTCCTTCTCCCACCTTCCTGACATAATTGAGCTGAGAAGAAATGAGACTTCAGCTCTGACAGAAAAAGGTGCTGAGTCTTTCCCAGGCTCTCCATGGTCCTCGGAGAGCCTGTGGCCCTGGAATTTGCACTGTTCCCCTGAGATGAACCCAACTCCTCACTGAGTGCCATGTCCTGGGGCTACCTCGACCTTGCATAGTGGGTCAGGTCTACACAGTGGCTTGCCTGTGCCCCTCCCCCCCATCCCTGCACCCATGGCAAGGGGCTCTAACCCCTGGCAAACCAAATCAAAGGGTCAATTCCAAGAGACAGCAGCAAAAGGACAGGGTGTCCAGGAGACAACGGCGGGCGGGGTACCAGACTTCATGCTAGGAGACTTGAGCTGCAGCTACTGCTGTGCCACCATTTAACTCCGTGGCCTTAGAAAACTCCAAATCTTCAGCTTCCTCACCTATATAAAGGATTTCACTGATCTTTACACAGTTCTCATGAGCTGCTAGGAGGAGAGTATGAAATAATATATGGGACAGTGATTTGTGGCCATAAAGCCTGAGGAGTGCCCGTGTGTCTCACCTCAGCCTCATGGCCATCAGCAGTGTCGTGTCTTGCTGGAGTTCAGTCTTGAACTGCCTCTTATCCAGTTCTTAGCTGGGACAACTGATGTAGCCTAGGAGCAATTCTCAGTATTCTAAGCATTCGCTGACGGCACCAAGAGAAAGCTAGTGTCCTGCCCCACAGAAATGCCTTCACAGCATTATAGTGTAACGGTGGAGCCCTTATCAAGAGTAAAAACAAGAACCAACAGGCTGGATGTGGTGGCTCACCCTGTAACCTCAGCACTTTGGGAGGCTGAGGTGGGCAGATGACTTGAGGTCAGGAGTTCGAGACCAGCCTGGCCAACCTGTCTCTACAAAAAAAAAAAGCTCTGTCTCTGCAAAAAAATAAAAAAATTAGCTGGATATGGTGGCATATGCCTGTAATCCAGCTACTTGGAAGGTTGAGGCAGGAGAATCACTTGAATCCAGGAGGCAGAGGTTGCAGTGAGCCAAGATCGTGCCACTGCAGTTCAGCCTGGGTGACAGAGCAATATTCCACCTCAAAAAGAAAAAGAACCAGCCAGGCATGGTGACTCACAGCTATAATCCCAGCACTTTGGGAGGCTGAGGCAGGCGGATCACAAGATTGGGAGTTTGAAACCAGCCTGGCCAGCATGGTGAAACCCCCATCTGTACTAAAAATACAAAAATTGGCCATGCATGGTGGCACACCTGTAATCCCAGCTACTCAGGAGGCTGAGGTAGGAGAATCGCTTGACCCCAGAAGGCAGAGGTTGCAGTGAGCCAAGATCGCACCACTGCACTCCAGCCTGGGTGACAAATCGGCTGGGTGCAGTGGCTCACTAGCCCCCCACACAGGATCTGATTCTCTTATATGAGGCTGATCCCAGCGCTTTGAGAGGCCGAGCCAGGAGGGTTGCTTGAGCCTAGGAGCTCAAGACCATCCTGATCAACATAGAGGGACCTCGTCCCTGCACAAAATTCAAAATACAGCTGGGATGGTGGCATGGGTGTGCGGACTCAGCTACTCAGGAGGCTGAAGTGGGAGGATCACTTGAGTCTAGGAGGTCAAGGCTGGCTAATTTTGTATTTTTAGTAGAGACAGGGTTTCTGCACGTTGGTCAGGCTGGTCTCGAACTTCCAACCTCAGGTGATCTGCCTGCCTCAGCCTCCCAAAGTGCTGGGATTACAGGCATGAGCCACTGCACCCCGACTTTCAGTTTCTGGCAGATAACTGAGAAGGATGTTTTCCACTACTAAAGGCTGTTCATTGACCTTTGTGAAAGAACCTCTGGTAAACTTCTCTTGGAATTTAGCACCAGGAAAAAGCTTGTGGGGCTCATGAACCAGCTCTATCCATAACCCATGGTATCTCATGTTTGCCTCCAGTGCCAGCAAGCCCTGAGATATAGTCAAAGCTCAAATGCCATGGCCTCAGATGTTCTCCAGCAGTTTGATTGTGCATGCTTTTTACTGTAAGCGACCTCAAATCTCTCAGAAATAGGCGCAAGATATATGTGGTAAATAAATAGAAGTAAATGTTGGAGAGGTAAGTGCATAGATTTGGAGTTTAAAAAGCAGCAGCAAAAGCAGGAAACGGGTCCTGCACCTTGGTAGCTGTGTGCTCCTGGATAAACCCCTTCATCTCAGGGGTTTATCTTCATTTGCTTATCAGTAAAATGGGGATCCTGATGCCTGACACCACCCCTGACTTGAAATGGAAATTGGTCAACACAATGCTATCCAAATCCTGGGTCGTCTTATTAAAAGCCTCAATTCCTTCCTCTCTTCTCTCCTGTGGGGAGCCCCCCCCCCAAGATTCCCGGGTAGAGGGTCTAGGTCAGGCCTTGAAGCTGGGCTCTCAGGGCCTCACTGCGGGGTTTCTACAGGCACAAACACTGGGCTGCAGCAGCCACTGTGGTCCCGAGGGGACCTGGGCACCCCTACCTTATCTCCGAGTCCTCCTTAGGGTACTTGTCCACCAGGCTGATGACGTCCAGCACCACTAGCCCCACGCACAGGATCTGCTTCTCTTCCATGAGGCTGCTCCCAGAGCTTCCTGACCGCCCAGCTGAAGGGGTTCCTCCCGGCCTCTGCCTCTTATCCAGGAGGATGGTGTCCCCGCTCCCAGGAGCTGCCCTGGCTCCTCCTCCACGTGGGAGTTCCTCCTCCAGGGAGCCACCTGCAGCGGCGCGGGGTGCAGGGAACGAACGGAGCAGGGCCCTTGCTCCCGACGCCCAAAGACCCGAGCTGGCCTGGGAAAGCCACCCCCGAGGTCTTGGCCCCCGGTCTTCCCTTAGCAGGTTGCCTGGGCCTGCAGATGGCAACGCCTCCCACTTCTCAGCCTCAGTTCCCTTGCTTGTCAGATGGACTCGGAGCGGATGTAAACGTTTCTAAAGCGCAGCTAAGAGATCTCAAGAATGCAAAAGAAAATGGGCTGGAAATGCGCTACTTGCCCCGCCCTCTGCTGCACCTGCGTCTCTGACTCCCGACCCTGGACCCGCGGGGTGGAGTTGGGCCTCGTATCTGCAGCCCTGCCCGTAGCCCGCCGTCGCGGCCGCCCTGCCCGCCCTGGTTAATCCCAGCCGAGGCCACGCCTCCGCCGCGGAGCAGCCAGACTCGCAAGGTGGGCTGCGGCCTCCTGTGACGGGAACGCCGAGCGCCCCCTGGCGGACGCCGGCGTAACGGGCGCGACTCGAGGGAGGTGTCGCTGGAGCCTGGCTAGCGCCGCTCGCGGCCTGAGCTGCTCCGAGCCTCCCCGAGCCGGGCGGAGGCGGTGAGCGCAGTGCGAAAGCCGGAGTCCCCTCTGGAGGCTGCCTTCTCTCCCGCCCCGTGCCCTGTGCACTCCTGGCAGTCCCCAATCCCGTACCGGAGCAGAACGGCTCGTTTAGATTTTTTTTAGAAAAACCAAGTGTCTTTATTCCCGGATCGTTTAGTACGGCGGTGGGCGGCGCCCGCGCGGGGGAGCCTGGCTCCCAGGGGCTCGGCCTGGAGGGCCGGTGGAGGGAGCGGAAGGTGCGAGGATCTGCTCCTCCGCAGGCCGGCCCTGGAAGGGTTCTGCGGGGATCGCGCCTGGCCAAAAGTCTGCACCCGCGGCCCGGGCCGGGAGAGGCCGCTCTGGGCACGGTGCGGCTGCGGGCCCGGGCGCGACGCTCGCCCAGGGCTGGGTGCCCTGTCCCAGGCGGGACCCCGGGAGCCCGCTGCCCCAGCTGTCTCTTTGGCCGACGTAGACACGTCGGGCCGGGCCCCCAGTCTACGCGTGTTCAAGCTCCGCGTCCTCATAGAGCAGGACCCCGCTGAAGACTGTGAGCGGCTCCTGCGAGTGCGCCAGCGGCCCCATAACCAGGTCGATGCAGACCGTGTCCCCGGCCTGCAGCGGCAGGATGAGGCTGAGGACGCCCAGGGTGCCGGGGCTGGGCTGGCTCTCGGCCACAGGCTTATTCTCCAGGCCCTCGGGCTCATAGCCGCCGGAGTCTATGCGGGCCACGCCCTGGTTGGAGCGGGACAGCACGGCCTCCACCTTCTCGTTCCGGTGTCCAGTCAGCACGGCGCTCAGCAAGTAGCGTCCGGCCAGTGGCGCTGTGAACTTGCCTGGGGACAAAGAGTCAGTCAGGGGAGCCAGGGAGGCCCCTGAGCCAGCAGAGCTCCTGTACTGGGGAGGGACCGGCTCGCTGGAATGTAGACGCAGGGAATTGGGGGCTTTGTTCACTGTGCATCCCCAGCACTTCAAACAGTGCTTGGCAGAGCAGGCCCCAGTAGAGAGCTGCTGAATGAAGGAATCACTACTCCTCCTCCCCACTGGATGAGAATGAGTACATGAAGAAAGAGCCAGGGTCTCCCCAAATCAGAGAATGAAAAGATTCACACTGTCAGAAGAGGCAAGAATGGGAAGGTATCACTGCACACCTGACCCATTTCCCCAACTGTTCAACCCAGCCCCTCCCAGGCCTACCTGTCTTTGGATCATAACCGCCTCCATCATTGAGCAGGACTCTGTCAAAGGGGACTGTGCCTGGTTCAGACCAGGGCAAGCTCAGGGCAGCTGAAAATGCCACGCGGGGCACAGGGGCTGCTGGTGCCCCCTCCACTCCTGTTGGGAAGGCCTAGTGTTAGAGGGGATGCTCAGGGCAGAGTGCCAGCCCAGGGCTGCCTGAGGACCTCCATTTTCCAACCCCTAGTCACTTCTCCCTCCAGAATCAAATGAAAGGCACTCACCCTGTTCACCTTGAGGACCTGTGAGAAGAGGAAAGGGAGCAGTGAGAAGCAGGGCAGCTCTCACCAAGTCCCTCAGCAAGCATCTGCTTAGGTTCTCCTGTTGTGCTGGGTGCTACGGGGACTTCAAAGCAGGAATTGGGGTATCAAGAAAAAGAGGAATAGGTAGGGTCCATTCTGTTCAATTGCTGGGCCATCCCAGCCTTTTACACCCAGACAGCCATAATAGGCTCAGCTTTCGTCTCCAGTATTGCAGTGGGGCCAGCATTATCTATTAGCCTCCTAATACCCATTAACCAAACACAGTGACTATCACAGTTTCTCCTCTTTCCTCTGTCTTTCCTTTGTCAGGTAGGAGCCAATTCCCCTGGTCAAGTTTAGAGTGGAATGTCAAGCCTGGGACTGCCAGCAGGGGTCCAGATTGGGGACTTGGAGGGTGGTGGCAACCCTGACTGCAGTGAGGGTCTCAGTGTACATACCTGGTGGCCCGATGGGCCCCTCTTGCCCGTCCTTGCCTGGATATCCTGGTGGTCCAGCAGGGCCTGGGGGTCCCTGTAACCCAGGAGGCCCTGGGGACCCAGCCTCTCCTGCAGGCCCTACAGTGACAAAACTGAGTTGAGGGAGAGCCAGAAGAGGAGCTTCCAATGGGTAAGGAAGGTGGGTGGTGGCTTCATGGACAGGGAGAAGATGGATGGAACAGGTGGAGCTTTGCAGGCCGAGGGGGCAGTGGGGTCCCTGGCTGCACGTGCTGGACTCCTGGCTGGCAGAGCAGCATCCTCTCCACCCACAGGCCTAGTGAGCAGCCAGAGGGAGGGCCGGGAGCTAGGACCTTGCATCATCTCTTGCAGGCATACTATAACGCCTGGAATAGTAGTCGGGGCTGCAATTCATGCTGGGAAAAGCCAGGAGGAAGCAGAGTTGGAGGCTGGGCTGGGAGAGCGGGGAAGAAAGGCCTGAAAGGAGTCCTCTCATGCCTTTTGCTCACTCACCAGTGAAGTCTTTCATGCTGAGCTGGTGCAGATGGTGCTTCAGGAGCTCCAGGGAGCTGTTAAGGGCACTGAGCCGCCTGCCCAGACCCGCCTGCCCACCTAGCAGCTTCTCTAGCAGGGCTGCCTGTGTCCAACTGGTGGTGTTGGTTTCCCGTAGCCCGGCCCAGAGCCCAGCTATGTGTTTGGAAAGGCCCTCACGCAGGCCCTGCAGTCCCCCAGTCACAGTGTCCAACCGTTCACAGACTCCCTCTAGACGGCCCAGACGCCCCTCTAGGCTGGGGCACTGGCTGCCCTGTGCCTGTCCCTCCTCCAGGCCTCGGAAGCGCTCTTCACTCTCCGTAGCATGCTCTGTGGCCTCCTGCTGCAGCCTGTTAATCTCAGAAATGATGCGGTCCTTGGTGGCCCCCAGGTCAGCCAGATCAGCGCCCTGACCCTCCACAGTGGTCTGGAGCTCATTCAGTGAGTCATTAAGGGAGCTGAAGGTGAGAATCACCTCAGAGAGCTCTCCTTGCAGGGCCTGCAGGGCTGAGCCTGAGCTGCCCCCAAACACGCTGAAGCCATCCAGGGGCCCACGGCTTGGTCCCCCAACACCTGGACCAGCCCCAGGACCCCGAGGAGGCAGCAGGGGGCAGGAGCAGCGCTCCACACCATCCCGAAGGCGGCCTAGTTCCTCTTGGACTCCCCCACAGGCCCCACAGCCCTCATCCCCATGGGCCTGCAGCAGCCCCTCCAGTTGGCTGAGCCGGGCCGCAGTGAGATTCAGCCGCAGTGCTAACTCCGCAGCTGTCTCATCCTGTGCATCCACACGATCCTGGAGCTGGCCCACAACCCCCTGCAGTCCCTCCAGCATGGCCTGCCGGGTCTCCCCTGCTGTTTCCACCTTGTGCAGGCCTGAGCCCACAAGCCGCAGCTGCCCCTCACTGTCCAGCACCCTGCGCTCCAAGGCACTGAGGATCTCGCTGACTTGAGAGTCCTGCTCCCCAGGGGCCCCAGAGCAGATCTGCCCACATGCCTGCATGGCCCCTGCCACCTGCTCCTCCAACAGATCCAGCCGCCCCCCCAGCTCCCCACTCACATTTGCTAGCAGCGCCCCCAGCTGCTTTAGTCCGCCCCGGGCAGCAGGCAGCCAGTGGCCCAGTCCCCCAGGAGCCTCAGGCCAGCTATCCTCCTGTTTCTCCGAGGGGCCCAGGGTGGAGTTGAAGCGGTCCTCCAGGCGAGAGAGGCGGGAGGCCAGGCTGGTGTAGCCTGGGGGATGGCCCCCCTGCCCTGCTGCTCCTCCCAGCTCGGTGCCTCGCCGCCCACTCAGCACTGTCACTGAGCCAGCTACCACATCCAGCCTGCGCTCCAGCTCTGCCAGTCGCCGGCCCAGCTCTGGAGGGCAGCATTCCTGAGGGGGCCTGCGGCCCATGGCCAGGCCGACGAGCTGCTGTTGCCGCTCCTCCATGGAGGCCAGCAGCTTCTCCAGTGCTCGCAGCCGCTCCCGGTCCTCCTGCTGCTGCTGGCGGAAGCCATCTACCCCCGTCAGGCATACAGAGCAGGACTCCTGCAAGCGCTGCTCCAGCTGCTGCAGCAGTTCCTCACTGGGACCCGGAGGGGCCGAGGCCAGGGCTGGCGCCCTGCTGCCCACACTGCTGCTGCCACTGCTATGATGGTTGTTGAGGTGACCCAGCTCCTGGTCGTGGCTGGAGACACGGGTGTCCAGGAGCTGCAGTTGGTGCTGGATCTCGTTGAGGGTTTCATGCACGCCAGGGCGGGCAGCCGCGTCGGCTGGCTGCTGCCTCCCGTTGAAGGCGGTCTCCACAGCCCTCTGCACATCCTCTGCCAGGCGCCCACTCAGTCCCTGCAGGATACCCTGCAGGCTTTGCAGCTCCTTGGACAGGCTCTGCACCTGCTCCTCCAACTGCTGCACCTTCTCTGATTCCCCAGGACCTGAGGAGAGGGGAAGGCAGAAGGCAGAGGGGCTGGACCCCAGAGCTCAGGGCCCCTGCTAACCCTAGCTCCAGCAAGGCTCAGAGGCCCAGGGTGGCTCTGCCTCTCCTTTGGATGATATTGGCAAGAGAAAAAGAAAGGAAACTCCATTCGCTGAATGCTTCTAGGCCAAATTTGAACCATGGCTCTGTTCTTCACCAACTGCCCTGGGGGAGGACCTTTCCCATCTTAGAGACTAGGAAACAGGACCAGAGATATTAGGTGCCTGGCCATGGCGCTCAGGTTTACTAAGTGGCTGTGCTAAATTTCCAACTCAGACCATATATCTGGCCCCCAGGACCATATCCTTTCCATCTGCCCACAGTGACTCTTTTTTTAAAGATGGGGTTTCACCATGTTGGCCAAGCTGGTCTTGAACTCCTGACCTCAGATGATCCAACCACCTAGGCCTCCCAAAGTGCTAGGATT